ACATGTATTATGTATTTTCATTCATAGGTACATATTTCACTCGGGTATGTATGTCGATGCCATTCACCGCTACAACCATTACGCCATTACCCCATATTTCAAACCCAACACCTCTTTTCTTAACAAATAACTTGAATGTCATGAACTACAAGACGTTTACCACTAATACATCATTTTGAGTTTTACTAATTATAAATATAATGTATTTATAGAAATGTTAGAAAACACTATTACTTCACATTTGTTATATTATGTACAGAAATGCCGAAAATCTCAGATATTCTTAAAATCAATAAATCTAATTGTTGTAAGAAAACTAACAAAAAAACATGTACTGTAAATATAATTTTAGCTACATTTCATTTCAGTAATTTTAAACCACAAATAATTTTTTGTAAGGATTAACAGATTTAATAAATTATAAAATAAATTTCACAAATAGTACGCTAAAGAGATGTGTCAGAAGCTGTCGTTGAAAGGATGGATTCGTGTATCGCCGAGGGGTACAATCTATGGCCAGATTCAAGGAGAGAAAAATAGCGTTGATGAAATGTATGATCACAATTTGTTTGTTGGTCAATTTGTTAATTTATCTCACAATTTGTATGATTTGATTTAGGGCTCTATGGCTTAGACTTCAGGGGAGTCCCGGCGCTCGTATTGACTCGTGTCAGTTCAAGAACTGGAAAGTGATCGACAGCTGCGACTTCAGGAACTTTTCAGTCAGATATTGAAACACAATTCAATACAATTAAATGTTAATTAAAAATCCCTTTTTTGTTCGTTAATATTGATGTCAATTCTTATGTAATATTCTTTATCTGATTATAATTCCTATAATTGTAATGTAATTAATATTTTATGCATTTATTATATAATATTTAAAATTGTATTTTTTATTAGAATTCTATATATTCTCTATTGAAATATGTGTTCAAATCTATAATACTTTAATGTCTTAATTATGAATTACTCTAATTACTAAATGTTTACATTGTATTCGTGGATCTATTAAAATACATGTCAACTCCATTGTATATTACATGCTTTGGAAAATAAATGTCAAATTTTATAACTTCAATTTACTTTCATATAATGAAAATAA